TATGAAAATAATTACTAATTGAAAAAATTTTTTAAATATTTTTTCTTGACGAATAATTATTCTAAAACTAATTCACAATTTTTCTTCTCGATTAAAACGAAAATGATGTTTAAGATTAAAATTACTACAGACCCAAAATTTTCCTTGTGATTCTCGTTCTTTTCGCTCAAAAAAAACCTGCCTATTGTATTGTTTAGCGCTTTTATCTTACATAAAATTCTCACTGTGTTTCCTTTCAATATTCGTTTTTCTTTTCCTTTGCTAATTTATATATACACACACAAAAAATGCATAATCTCGCACATCTATACACATATACATAATATGAAAAAATTTTTTATGTCACAAATGCAATTACAGGATGAGAAAATACGAACCAGAATTTCTACATTTAACATGGAAAGTATATCCAAAAATCGAATGAAAATTATTTTTCATTTTATAGTCAATTTTTCGTTCAGATTGAGAAAATCTCAAAAAAAAAAAAAAAAATTAGTGATAATATCGAATTTTCGTTTTTTTAATGTCTATAACACATATATGTATATGTACCAATATGTAATTATGTATACAATCTACAATGGGTAAATCTGTTTCAGTACTACTAGAATTAACTTTGATTAAGGTTTATATGGTACTAGCTTAAGTCTGGAAAATGTGTTTACTGAGAGGTGTTATCTAATACTAATACCATTTTCACATATATACATAGCACCATAACGAGACAAGCATATATATGTATGTAGAGAGATATTTCTCTCTATATAGAGCAAATTTCACATAATTTTAAGTCATCATTTATTAATTTATCATTAAATAATAATGAATAACCATCATTTTGTATTGTTAACAAACAAAAGCTTATAATCTACAATTCAGTGAGCAAAACGTGCGATATAAATTTACCGCCAAAACGTGACGAATGCTCGCCCAAAAGAATTCTATTCTCCTCTGTGACCTGTTTGATAGATAAATCTTTTTTTTTCTGCAATTTTCACCTGAAAAGGAAACATTGCTTTGTCACCATTTTTTTTTTAAATTCAAGAAAATAAAAATTAATAATTGTTTTTAGATTCAAAACAGTAACACTACTTATTTGAAATTTTTTAAGTTTTGTCACACACACCTTAAAATTCTAATTCTTCTTTTATTAAGTATTCTAAAAAATTAAAATTGAATAAAATGATGTGAGTTTTCAATTTTTATGAGTTATAAAATTTTTTTAGGACGCATTTCAATTTTATTGATTGAATGTAATGTATATAATTAATGCATTAAATTATGGTGTTTTTCAAGTTATAAACGTGTGAGCATTACTATATGACATCTCTGAAATGTTGACAAAGCTAAAACACAAGCCAGGGTGGTGTTTAAGTTTTGTTGAATGTACATCACGTAACAAATAATAGACTCCCATTTACCGTGTAATCTATGACCCATATGATACGTGATATCCGCCTTCTGGAATAAATTCAAACACATTAATGATGCTATTATTGCAGTAAAATTGGAACATGTCCTCATTTACTCTAATTCAATTTTCAGCACACACTTTTATGTATTTTCAATCGTTTTTTCAATTTTTAGAAAATTACGAGAAAAAATAATCAACATTTTATATACTATTCAATAGAGTATAGTGGGGCAAAAGAGACACATTTTTTCTTGTTTGTCCCACTAAATCGGAATTTTAATTTTTTTTCAATTTTCCTGAAATTCTAAAGTTTTGAAAGAAAGCCAAATGGCTTCTTAATCCTACTCTACTCTAATTGAAAATTTAATTTAAGTTATTTAATTAAATTTATTAAATATTAATTAAATTAATAAATTAAAAAGCAAGGGATTTTATTTAAAAAGAAAGTTGTAAAAAATTATTACGAAAAGAACAGAAATAATAAAAATAAAACAAAAAATGTTAATTTTTGGAACCATCTAGCGGTGGCGTCACTGAACTAAAACACGGAATTATAATCATATAAGAGGACATTAATTGTACAGAACAAAAAAAGATAATTACAGGGCTCGAACCAGTGAAAGTGTTTAAAAATATGGACTTTACGGACCAAAAATTAAAAATTATGCACCATTAACGGACCAAAAAAAATATAACCAGTCCGAGTCAAATAAGAAAATATTTTACTTAAAACTATAAATTAAATTTCTCATATTTCTATAAAACATGAAGATGACCAAGTGATAAAATCATTTACAATTCAATTATTATTTACAAGAATTTTTAACTCAAATTCTTCTTTAAATCTATTATTTTTAATAATTTTAGAAAAAGTTCTTTGACAATTTTCAAATCCATTTATTTACAATATTCAATTTTACGAAATTTCAATTATTCATAAATTCATTGATTAAAAAAAAAATAAATATTAGAAAATAAAAACTTAAAATAATATTAAAAAAATTCAAAAAAAACTTTTTTAAAAAAATTAATTTTAACTGAAATTAATTTTTATTAGAAAATTCTACTAGAATTCAATTATTTAAAAACAAAAATAAAAAATATATTGAATAATTAAATGTTTCTTAAAATTCAATTCCCATAAAGAATCGTTATCAACAAATTTTTAAATAATTGAATTCAATCAACGAGTATTAATAAAATTTTTAAGAATAATCACATTTTTCGATAAATTCGAGTAGAATTGTATATTAAAAATAATTAAAATTCTGTGATGAGTTTTATTAGGTATAAAAATAATTGAATCCCTAAGAAAAATTTTATTACTTTTAAACAATATTTAATTTTTGCGAAAAATATAATAATATTGGAAATAATTGAATTTTTGCAATAATTTGTAACTTTTACAAAAATTGAATTTTTTTGTGCTTTTAACTAAAATTCTTTTTTAAATCGATTATTTTTAATAATTTTCGAAAAAGTTCTTTGACAATTTTCAAATCCATTTGTTTACAATATTTAATTTTACGAAATATCCAATTATTCGCAAATTCTTCAATTAAATAAATATTAGAAAATAAAAACTTAAAATAATTTAAAAAAAATTAAATTAAACTTTTTCAAAAAAATTAATTTCAAAATTGAACTATTTTTAAAAATTCACGCTATATTGCTTTTAATATTCAATTATTATCTAAAATTGTAACTGAAATTCCTTTTTAAATCAATTTTTATTAAAAAATTCTACTAGAATTCAATTATTAAAATACAGAAATAAATAACTTATTGAATAATTAAATGTTTCTTAAAATTCAATTCCCTTAAAGGATCGTTATCAACAAATTTTCTAATAATGAAATTGTATCAACGAATATTAATAACATTTTTTAAGAATAATTACATTTTTCGATAAATTCGACTAAAATTGTATTAAAAATAATTGAAATTCTGCAATGAGCTTTATTATTTGTAAAAGTAATTGAATCCCTAAGAAGAATTTTATTACTTTTAAAAACAATTGAATTTTTGCAATAACTTGTAACTTTTACAAAATTGAATTTTTTTTCCTGTTTTTAACAAAACATCTTCTATAAATCCATTATTTTTAAAAAATTTTGAAAAATTTCTTTAAGAATTTTCACATTTATTTGTTTACAATTCAATTTTACAAAATTTCAATTATTCGTAAATTCTTTAATTAAATATATATTAGAAAACTAAAACTTTCAATAATTTAAAAAAAAATCCGCAATTAAAGTTTCTCAAAAAAAATTAACTCCACAAAATTGTTAGTTAAAATAATGAAAAATTCAAATTTTCAAAGTTTTTAATCTGAAACATTTTCAAAATTCAATTATTTCTAAAAAAATTTACGCTATATTGCTTTTAAAATTCAATTGTAATCTAAAATTTTAACTGAAATCCATTTTTAAATCAATGTTTATTCGAAAATTCTACTAGAATTCAATTATTCAAATACAAAAATAACAATTTATTGAATAATTGCATGTTTCTTAAAATTGAATTCTCATAAAGAATTTTATCTATAAATTTTTAAATAATTGATTTCTTTTGACGAATTTTAATAACATTTTTAAGAATAATTACATTTTTCGAGAAATTTGATTAAAATTGTATTAAAAATAATTGAAATTCTTCAATGAGTTTTGTTATTTACGAAAATAATTAAAAAAGAATTTTATTATTTACGAAAATAATTGAATCCCCGTAAAAATTTTATTATTTATGAAAGTAATTGAATGATTGCGAAAAAATTTATAAAAAAAAATTTGTAAATAATGAAATTGCTGTGAAATTTTTATTTATTTTATGAAAATAATTAAAAGTGTGTGTAGAATTTTATTGCATTTTTTTTTTATATAATTGAATTCTTTTGGAGAATTTTATGAAAATAGTAGATATTGAAAATCATTAATTTGAGGATAATTTTTCAAAATAATTGAATTTCGGAAAAGAATTTAATTATTTCTAAAGATAATTGAAATTTTGATGAGAATTAAAAAACAATTTTGAACTTAATTGAATTTCTGCGAAGAATTTTATTACTTTTAAAAATAATTGAATTTCTGCAATAATTTGTAATTTCTATAAAATTCTCCAAATTATATCGTACAATTTACGAACTTTTCATCCTTTTTAAATCAAATTACAGACTTTACGGACCTTTTTTCAAAAAAACAGACTTTTACGGACTTCAAGCAAAGTTGCGAACTTTTACGGGATTTACGGACCTAGTTCGAGCCCTGTAATTATCAATTATTTATAATAATACTAATAATAAAAATAATAAATAACTCGACGTATATTAAAATATTTTAAAAAATTAATTTTTTAATTCCCCATTAATAATTTTTTTTCGAAATTTTTATTTGGATTATAATCATTTGAAAAAATAATCTCACATGCCAGAGCAATGTTTCTAAATGGTAATGAAATAATCAATTGTTTCCAAGTGGAAAAGAGAAATTTTTGTTATTTTTGGTCAAAAGCAATAATAATAATGATAATAATAATACCTAAGAGAAAACAAAAAAAAACAAATGGAAAAAATTTCAATCTACTGTAGGAAAGGAATACTATGATCTGTCCGGAAGTCCGACTACGATGACCAGTGGATCGTTTAGAACTTCTTCACACAATGGACATCATAGTACTGGTCCAATAACCATTGAATATAATGGTCATCATCCACCGCGAGAACCGCGAAAAGAAGAGAACACCCTCGTTCGAAGAAGCTTCCGAAGAAGCGACGAGTGGTGCGCCGATAGTAGGAGGTGCGTTGTCATCTACGCTTTTATTGTTCGTCGTCAATAATTTATCATTTATTTCTTAAATTCAAATTAAAAATAAATTTTCATCCTTTTTTCTTTGAATCAGAATTAATGTTTACTACCTTTGGGCAATTTTATTATTAATAATTATAAAGTAATTATCATGCACTGAAAAAAATGTATTTGATTAAAATAACCGACTACTTAACTATTATCAATGAAATATTTAATTGAATCAAATAATATTTATTGGTGTCAATTAAATAATAATTTATATTTGCTTCAAATACTGAAATTATTGGTTCAAATACCATTTAATTGACTTCAATAAATATTATTTGATTCAAGGAAATATTTAATCGATAATAGTCAATTAATCAGTTAATTGAATTAAATACAATTTTTTTCAGTGCGGGGTTTGTAATAATAAATAATTTAAGTAAAGAACTAAAAAAATTCAATTTTCAATTTAATTTCTTAAAAATGCCAATCTTGAAAATTCTGTTCATTTTTAAAGTTTAGAGAGTAATTTTTGTTATGACAAACAAAAACCAATGTATGATATGTATGTGTGTCGGCGTATCGCATATTGTGGCAGGTTCACTGAGCGGAGGGGGAAAAAAACTGTGAGATTTCATGGAGGGACCAATGTCGGTGACTCTCAGGAAGAATGGTCATGGGAAGTCGATCGGCAAGGTAGTCAAGACAGTGCGACAAAAGACTCTGGAATAGATACGTCGAGCACCTTTACGAGCAGTGAAGACAGCAACAGGGGTGACCTGCCCAAGGTACGGGCCGATCGAAAACCTCTCCTCATGAATCGTCATTTCTTTTCAAAAACTTTACCCTCCTCATTGAATGAAATTAATGAAAAAAAATGAATAATCTAACTTTCAAAAATCCGATGTACAAAAAAAAAATATGAGAATGTCGAATGATTTTTCCTTAGTTTTCAGAGGGTAGTTTTTTTGATCCTATTGACTACTCTATTCTGTCTTGTAAATCGTTTTTTGTAGTTAATTATTATATAGAATCGTGTACTGTCTCATCAGTTGCATAATTGCCAGAAATATTTTCCTAATTTTAAAATATTTCATTTTTTTTTTATCATTTCTTAACTTCACTTCCGATTCGATTTTGATTTTAACTTTGACTTTCAAAGTCAAAATCGAAGACTGAGTGAAAATGAAAGTCAAAATCGCACAAAAATTTTCTTTTTAACTTCTTTCTTCCTCAAAATTATTTTCATCTTTTTAATCAATTATTATTTTCAAAAATTTTTAACTAAAATTCTTCTTTAAATCAATTATTTTTAATAATTTTTGAAAAAGTTTCTTTTTGCGAGAATTTTTAAATCTATTTGTTTACAATTCAATTTTACAAAAAAATTTGATTATTTATAAATTCTTCAATTAACTATAGTAAGAATGTTCTTTCATTCATTCACTTTTTCTGTCCCTCACACTCTGAAGTTGTCTTTTGCTTATACTTTTATTTTTTGTTATCTTTAGACAGATTGTATATTATATTATTATTTTTATTTTATAATTAATTCAAAATTGTAATGACAAATAGAAATCTTCAGAATTTTTTTCACTTTTTTTCATTAAAAGACTAAAATTTTGTTAAATATTATGTTTTGTCAAATTGAAATTATGCAGATTTTTGTTCTTTACTTCTAAGGAAAATTAGAAAATTCTTAAACAACTGTGTTTAAGAAATAGAAAATTTATTTATTTTGCATTATTTTTGTTTATGAATCACAATTTTTTTAAACAAAATTATTATTTTGTTTTAGAAAAAGAAGAAAAAGATTTCAAAATTTCTAGTATTAATCTTATTTTTGGAACAGGATTTTCCACAGAAATTAAGACATTCAAAAATTTCAAATTCAAACTTTTTTTATATTAAACAACTTATAAAAGTATTTTTATAAAACATGAAGATATCGATTGCTCCGAGTCGAAGACTCGGAGTGATCGATTTCTTCATGTTTTATAATAATTAAAGATGACCGAGAGATAAAATCATTATTTTATATCATCAAAGTATTGTTACTGTAACTTCATCAAAATTTTTTTCATCATTTTAATTCAATTATTATTTTCTAGAATTTTAAATTTTTTTTATGAAAATAATTGAATTCCTGTGAAATTTCTATTATTTATGAAAATAATTAAATGTTTGCATACAATTTCATTAAAATTTTTTTAAAATAATTGAATTCTTTTTTGGAAATTTTATTAAAATAGTAAATATTAGAAATAATTGAAATTAGAAAAAGTTTTGAAAATAATTGAAATTAGGACAAGAATTTTGTTGACATCTATGAAAATAATTGAACTTTGGAGAAGAATTTTGTTATTTATAAAGATAATTGGGATTTTTACGAGAATCTTTTTTTAAATTTTACACATAGTTGAATTTTATAAGAAGAATTTTATTTTCTTTTGAAAGTAATTGAATTTCTGCACTTATTTGTAATTTCTCCAAAATTGAATTTTTTTAGTGTTTTCAACAAAAATTTTAATTAGAAAATTTTTAAATTTTATTATTTTCAAAATTGAAATAAACTTCAAAAAATTGAAAAAAAATTCAATTAAACCTTTTGAAAAAATTAATTTCATAGAATTGTTATTAGTTAAAATTTTAATTTTTTAAAGATTTTAATTTGAAACCTTTTCAGAATTCAATTATTTTCAAAAATTCATGCTATAATTTTTCAATCAATTTTTATTAGAAAATTCAACGAGAATTCAATTATTTAAATACAAAAATTAATAATTTATTGAATATGTGAATGTTTCTTTAAATTGAATTTTCATAAAGAAATAATCGTTATCAACAACTTTTCAAATAATTGAATTCTTTTGACGAATTGTTATAAAAATTTTAAGAATAATTAATTAAATATTAATTATTTTAACAATATAATAATTGCAAAACTGCAATGAGTCTTATTATTTATGAAAATAATTGAATAATTGTAAACAAATTTTATTATTTATGAAAATAATGAAAATATTGTGAAGAAATTTATAAAAAAATTTGTAAATAATTGGATTCTTTTGAAAAATTAACCAGTTTTTAACGCGCAAAAATCAACGAAAATTTTTTTCAATTTAAATAATGTCTAAAATTACTCCAAAAAAACAAGAAAACAAAGTAAACAAAATATTTGTTTGATGAAGAATTAAGTTTTTTAATTTACAAAAAATGATTCAGTAATAAAATTCAGATTTGAATTTATTATAAAAAAATATCGTTTATTTGAGCGTTTAAAACTTTAGGGATATTAAATAACTTTAATATAATTTTATTCAATTTTTCATTCATCGAAACAGGAGTTTCGGTCTATATTTAAACAATAAATTAAATTTATTTACTTAAATTATTAATTAAATTAAATTGGAAAAAAATTGATTCAAATAACCGATTAATAATTAATTCTGCACTTACAAAAATATTTATCTGATTCAAGTAAATTTTTAATTATTAATGATTAAGTAATCGGTTATTTTAATCCAATTAATTTTTTTTCCGTGTATTAAATATAATTAGTTTGAATTCAAACAAAATCACAAAATGTCAAAAAAATCATTCCAGGTAAAATTTGGATTAAAAATGTAGTTTTTTTTGGAACAGTAATGTATAATATTTCTGGCTATTTTGTTAACTTTACTCTCAAGTAGCTGTTAGGATATATTTATATACATTATGAATCGATGAATTCTAACGAATATTTGAATAAGGAATTTATAATTAGCGCGGCTCACGAGACTTGATAACAATTAAAATTTATAATTGTTCGTATAAAATTTCCTTACTCAAGCATTCGTCAAGTACGGGCTTGCAATTCTGACTTAAGTGCTTACTTTTGAGTGAATGCAAGGTTCTCTTAATTGCTAACTTTTTTTTTGTCAAAGGAAGGTCTTGTCACGAGACATTTGTTTCTCCCTCATCCACATTTGCATCTATGAGTACACCAATCACTTTAAAAAAAAAACAAAAAAAATAGAAAATAAATAAATTTACACATATAGAAAAGAAATAGACAAAAATTGTAAATTATTGCTTTTATAAAGGCCACATTCGTCAGTATTTATAATATTCTCGCATATCAATCATTTATTTTTCTTTCAACATAAATTGCCTGTTATATTCCATCCGATATTTTATTTTCCTTTGAGAATTCATTTTATTTCTAAATTTTTCTTATATCTATTCTTTAGAAATAAAATTCTTTTTATTATTTTTTGAATTTTTTAAATGAATTGAAAAGCTCGAAAATCCTAAAAGAAATTATATTTAGAAATCACAATAATATGGTAAATGAAAGTGGAAACGATTTTCTTAGAATAAAAGAAAAATTATTTGTTATTCAAATCTTATTTTTTGCACTTTTAATAATAAATTTAATTAATACATTAATTTAAAAATATTTTTTTTCTGTTTAAAATATTTTATTTGAATATTTAATTAATATTAAATTTTAATTTATTTATACATATTCTATAAATAAATAGATAAATATTATTTATTTTAAATGAATAATCTATAAATAAATAAAAATATACAAATAGAACAATAAAATAATAATATAAATTTTTTTTTTTTGAAAATTCAATATTTAAGAAAAGTAACAAAAATTTTATTTAAACGTTCAAAATCTTAAGCATAAATTTTGTTAACATTAATTTTACATATTCCAATGAAAATAAAAAATTTTTTATAGAAAACAAAACTGAAAAGAAACTATGAAATCAGACTGAGAGAAAACCATTTTTTTTTTCATATACCATGCAATAATTATGTTAGCCGTAAATTGTACAAAACATCTCCCGATTTATTTATCTCTTATTCCTTCAAAGTTTTCGTTTCGTGTCTTGTGTCAGTTTATCTTCTTAGAACCACATGATTTAATACTACAACTGAATTGTATATATAAAATATATAAATTAAAAGTATTTTTCCACATTTAAATACGGAACAAAAAACCTAAAAATAACGAACTCTCTTTCTAACAAAACAAAAATTAAATACAATGAGTCCTTTATGCACAAAACAAAAACTAAATATAACAATACCCTCTTTGTAAAAAATTAAAAAAATTTTTAAAAAATAGTTATACAATGTTTTCTCCTGTAAAAAATTATTTTTTAATTTTCAAAAATTAATTATCAACCTAACATCTTTAGAGTTTAAATATTTTTAAATCAAATTTTTATTTTTAAACTTAAAACTGTACTGTTTTTTCCAGGGCCATTCCAGGTGAAATTTTCATTTTTTTTGGTCGGAACAATTTTTTTAGAATTTTATATGAAAAATTAGAAAAAACGTATTTTTTATTTTGTTATTAAATGAAAATTATAAAGATTGTAATTGTTTTAAATGCAACTTGTTCAGAAGCCTCGGCCTCTGAAGAAGTTGAATTTAAAAATATTACAACTTCTACAATTTTCATCCAATAACAAAATAAAAAAATACCTCTTTTCTTATTTTTCATATAAAATTCGAAAACAATTGTTCCGAAAAAATTATTTTAATGAATATTTCACCTGAAATGTATGTCCCCTAGGTAAAAAAGCATAATAATTCCTTAAAAATGGCTTTAATATTTTTTAAACATAACTGAGAATCATATTTTTTTATCTGAAAGGAAAGATACAACCCTTTATGGAATCATTCTTCTGCATATATTCATATGTGGTATTAAATCGAACGATAACTGTTCGTGTATATATACGTAAATATATCTAAATCCTCAATATACTCGGGAATAAAAAAA